AAGAAAGCAGTACGAAAAAAAAATATATCGGGAAATATCGGGAACTCAACAAATAAATATAAAACGTGGTAAGATCCCGTGATTTTTACCAATTATACGTATAAACGACAGGTTTCGCGGAACACATACAAATACATACCTAATTCTATATAATGATGTCACAGATTCGTTTAAAACCGTACCGTAGCAACGTAATGTTTAGTGGCAAAGTTAATACGAGAGGATTATTCGGTAATGACCGTAGATTGTATGGTAGTCAATTGATTTGATAAAATGCTATCATTAAAAGTATTAAAGTGATTAAGTTAACAGTATTAATTTATGAATATGTGCCATCAAACTGTTATTTGAAATCCATTTGTTTTGAATATGGATTACTAATAAAATTGAGGTGGGGGCTGTAAGTGACAAAGACGACCGTGAAGGTAATAAGAAAGATATTGTTGCTTTGGATATATACAATTTTATAATCTATGATTTATATTAGATTAATAATTTATAATAAGTTAAATCAGTCCATGATAAAAAACATATGATGTATGATAGAAGCCAATTCAGTCCTACAGCTGACGCTAGTTCAGTACCCAGGATTATATAAAATAAACTAGTATAAAAGTTTGTGATTATAGTCAGCAATCTTAATAAAGATTAAAGTAATATTATAAATGCGAAAATTTATGAGGATCGATGGATGCACGAATGGATTATTGTTTGTTACTCATTCACGCAAATACTACATAACCGATTTTGATGAAAGCTAACAGTAATAGAGATCATACATCAGACTAACACATAGGCTATAATTTAAAAAGATATTATGAACATTCTTCGAGATATAATGATAAATGTATAGTAAGTGTGATTTAGACAAAGATGCGCGGGGCACAGCAATCGTAGAGAAACTTATTTTAAATATACATTGACATATACACAGACAAGCTGTCTGTGGTGGATAGAAAACTTCCTCATAACAATATTCATTACTACATATAAGATATGCGAGATAAAGATTGGAGTCACTCAAGGAGCAACCCTAGGACCACTCTAGTAGTGTTGACAATAAGATAACAGTGTTATAATATAGCCTCATCGATTAACTATGCCGATACAATCGCGGGGATAATGTTATGATATCGAATGACGTCACGATTAAAAAACAATAACAGATCAGACATAATGATAGTGTTATGCAATACCAGTGTTGCTTTATAAGTCTATGATCAAGGTGTGTTGGACATATTAGATATGTTAACACAATAACATTGGCTAAAGGTTTTTGTAAAATTTTTACTGACTTTATAATATAATAATACTAACTAGCTTTTGGCCGCGGCTTCGCTCGCGTTAATTTATCCCCTTTAGGGTCGAATTAATCAAAATCCTTTCTTAGCGGATGTCTACGTCATAACATCTACCTGCATGCCAAATTTCAGCCCGATCCGTCCAGTGGTTTGGGCTGTGCGTTGATAGATCACTATGTCAGTCAGTCAGTCACCTTTGAATTATATATATTTAAATAATAATATAGCTCTTTATAGTGCACAGATAGATTTTTATGAAAAAAATAGAACTTTACATAAACGTGCTAAACAAAAGGCCTTATCGTTTACAGCAATCTCTAACATTGTATTCCTTTTTATGTGTATTACATTATCTTTGCCTAATTTGATCCGATGAATCACTAGAATACACTACTAATTTTAAAATACAATTTTTCATAATATCCGTATTTTTTTTGAGGAAAATCCAACTGAATCAACAAACTGCATACATTTTCATGAATCAGAAATATTACTTACTGCAGATGGTATAGATAAATCTGAAGCTTTACTAGGAAATGATTTGGCGGCTATTATTCTGTTTACTTTAATGGGAACCGTTTGGAATTACTAACACTTGATTTATGCTGAAAACAATCAAACATTACCAGATCATAATGATTATCTTTCTACCACTGAACAGGATGGCTTCTCATGAAATTAAGATCTACTCTATTATTATCAGTCAAGAGACTTAGTATATGGTTTCATTTCAAGATTTCTTCATCTATAATATTCTGACTCTTCAAAAATTCATGGTAGATTGTACATTTGTTTAATAGAGCTAAGAACAGATAAGCTTCTTGCTTGTTCTTGACGGAAATCGCATTCTGAATAAGTTGTAGATAAAAAATTGAAATTTTATAATGATGATAACAAAGACGGATTCAAATTCAAATCCTTTGAAATAAATGGTCATTAAATGCCTCAGTGCGAATAAAAAATCTGGTGTGATCCTACCAATCCCTCGCCTATATCCAGTGTTGGTTTTTGTCTCAGTCTAGTCCTACCTAAATGTCTTTCATATCTGGTGTGATCCTACCAATCCCTCGCCTATATCCAGTGTTGGTTTTTGTCTCAGTCTAGTCCTACCTAAATGTTTTTCGTATCTGGTGTGATCCTACCAATCCCTCGCCTATATCCAGTGTTGGTTTTTGTCTCAGTCGAGTCCTACCTAAATGGTCATTATAATTTAGTTTGATTCCATTATATCGAATGTATCTTTATTCCTGCAGTTCAATGATATCCACCAATATCCACCTCGAACCTCGAGACAGTATCGACCGTATGACAATGACACTTAATTTACTCTTATCATTGTTTCACTACACACTTTGATTAGGTAAATTGTCCATTATGTTGATATGCAATGTTTCCTGATAAAGTATATCTGGCCGTGACATATATACATACGTGAGAATCGTTACGTGTTTATGTTCATATAAACATCGATTAAATAGTATTCTTTAAAAACTTTGTGATGTCCACTGTCCCAGAAATGGGAGAAAGTGATCAAGGGACATGGAACAGTGAATAAAAAATTTGGAGGGAGTCAAAACAGATTCGCTTACGTGTACCCGCGTTTCGATAGTATAACCGCGAGGTTGGAATGGCCATGGGTTGGTTGGATGGTTGAGCATTTTCGCACAGGAATAGAAATAATTTGTAGGGGTCAGGAGAATGCATGTTTTTCAGCAGATTCGGGCTGTATAACCACGAGTGTTGATATGACCACATGTGTTGATGGAGGATTTACCATTTTTGCGAATAAACTGTATTAACTTTCTTGCTGCTTTCTGCCAATTAGGCAAGAAAGTGACATAACATTCATATTAAATCCAGTTTGTTTAGAATGTTTTAGATTTTAAGATCAAGGTAGTTTTTTTAATGAATGATAATGTAATGGTGCACCCGCCTCTAACGGTTTACGCTGGCGGGGCACTAGTGGAGGTTGATAAAATGAGCATGAGGTTGCGTCAGTTAGTCCATCGTGGCAAATTCACGAGGAACTTATCACTATGGTACCGCGTGGTCGTCAACCTGATATGGCACATTACTAGCAATGTAATAATTAATCTACATTACTAACAATCACCTTTCCTTAAAATAACGCAGTTATGACAATATAACTATGCAAGTATCTGTAATAGATCTACACGAGTTTTGAATAAAGTTTGACACAGCTCAAAAATCGCGGGACAAAGAAAAGTAGATCAAACATAAAAAATACTAAATATTTGTTAAAATAAACATTTTATTTATACTTACCTAATCTGTTAGACACTACAGATAACTAGATATTGCCATAATCTTTTCTGTGTACATCTAAGTAGAACCGCACAACCGAGGAGTGAGTACTGGTCTACTGAGATACAGGCCTCGTGCTAGTTCAATTCACAGGCTCATACTCATAATCACAACATATTGTTTATAAAAATGAATTTATACCTGTACATGATTGTGGTTTAAAAAAAATTATTATTATTACTATTATATCTATGAATTAGGAAATAGTACTTCAATAATCTGTAAGAGATACAATCGGATACTAAATTAATTATTAAGAAAATCCTAAATCATTGTTACATAGTATAAAATAAAGTCGCTGTCGCTGTCTGTCCGTCCCTATGTATGCTTAAATCATTAAAACTACTTTTTTTTTTTTTAATAGATAGAGTGATTCAAGAGGAGGATTTATATGTATAATACATGTACACCCGGGCGAGGTCGGGGTAAGTATCTAGTATTTTATAAACCATTAAGTTGCATAGTTATTTTGATAAATATGAATTCTTGACCATTGTTTCCACCATACATACAAATTAAGTAACCATTTATTTCATACATTATAATATATATGTAATTATAGTTACATCTTTACACAGTAAAACAAAATAAAGTCGCTGCCGCTATCTATTTACTTCTGTCCTTTAAATTACGCAACAGATTTTAATGCAGTTTTCAGCAATAAATAGAGTGATTCAAGAGGAAGCTTTGTTTGTATCTACATTAATATTATGTTGTATAATTTTATAGAGTCTATATAAATATTCTTTAATATAAAAATGTATTAATCATTTGTTTAAAATTTACTATTTCTAAATTTTTCCTAGTTTTGCTTACGTAGCGTTCCATGTACCGCACTGCATAACTGTACTATACTTATGTTTTCCTTTAACTATCTATCTATCTATAATCTGATTAAAGAGAGATAACATAGATTATCGACACTTAGGTAAATTTAAATAATAATTAATATGATAAATTATGTCATATGTTTTATTTTAAGAAACTTCAAAAATAAAGCTGAAGCAGCCAAATATTGGTTCTACATCTAATATGGTTCCTGTCATTGGAACAACAGCTAGATCTACGCTAGGAAAAATTAATATTTTAGTCTTAACTAAAGACTAAAATTAAGAAAACATCATTTCAACAACAGACCTGATGTTTAACAATGAAAGATTTCGAACAAACGTTTGAGGCATCCCAAATTAGTTGTAAATATAACACTGGCCACATACAATGGGACTTTCTCGACTGACAATGACATATATATCTCATTTATCCCAAATATTGCTTCCACCAAATCTCACCACACACAAACTAATAAAGACAACATTGGGCGCGAGGAAGCGAAACTTGCAAACTTTTTCATATAAAACTCTGGCAGGCACAAACCATAGATTACAATCCGATTGGTGCACATGTATTTCGAACACGTTTTGTATTTCGAATCGAACGAGATAAGGAACAATCGAACGGTACGTAAACACAGTTCAGACAATGATTTCTGAACGTCAACACACTGTTACATCACTAAAGTTTTCACGATCGCTGTTCGAGTGGACGCGGCACACGCGTCACCACGGCGCTTGAACAACTGAACGCTCATGGCTAACTGCCGCTCACTGGCCGCTCTGTGTTGCCAGTGTACGCATCGTATCTCCCATTGCGGGAATCATTATTTGAATAAGTTTAATTTCAGTTTCTAGATGTCCGGTATTGCTAGTAGAGCTGTTGTTGATTTTACTTTGGTATGATTTTTTTTAAATTGATTTATTTAAATATGACATTCAAACAAAAGGGTGTTAGATAAACATATTTTTATTTGGTATACTAAAGTTACATTTCCCGTTTGTTCTTCATTATTGTAAGTTGCATATACACTAAAATTTAGCATGTTTTATGAGTCATGAGTCATTTAAATACGAAATAGATTGTAATAACGCAACGCAAAAAAATTATTAATAAATAAAATTAAACATAACAAAATAAAACTCGTTATTCCAACAGTATTCTACAACTCACTAGCAACTTTCTAAAGATAATCCCGTAAAGATTAGAGATAAAACAATAATTAATACACATTCACACTAAAAATTCTTAATATATTGGATGTCGATGTAAATATTTTCAAATCAATCAATTTCAGCTTTAATAATAGATAACATTACAGATATAAGAAAAATAAATTGATTAACAATACCATAGTCTATATCTAGTCGATACAATTGGAATCATCTGTAATACTTTAATAAAAAAATATTGAATCACAGAATCACCATAAAGTCACAAAATGCTTCATTCTTCTTCGAACAATTAATATCATACGCATCAGCCTTTGGCCTCATCGCTTATACAAATATGAAGAAGTTTATTTATTTATTTATTTATTTATTTGAGCGACCAACAAGACATACACTATGAGGTTACAATTATTATAACTTGCGAAGAGTTCAGGTATATAGTGTTGTACTTGCTACGGCAGTACATATACTAAAATTGGAACGATACAGAGAAGATTGGCCCCATGGCCCCATGGCCCCTGCGCAAGGATGACACGCAAAATCGTGAAGCGTTCCACATTTTTTTTTTTGTCCCACACACCACCTCGCCATCCCTCCGGCGGGGTGACGGTCTTTTGAAGATTTTTCCACACGATAAAAAAAAAAAAAAAAGGTATATAGTGTTGACTTAATTACTGGTTGCCACGGCATGCGATATTGGTTACAGAAGTTTATATTTATATATGTATACCATTATTATTATTTTTTTTTTTTAAGTTTAAAAGTAAAATAGGCTGTACGGTCTAAGGATCTTTGCCTGTTCCACCACTAAAAAGGAGATGGACGAATATTGAAAAAAAAATCATACGCACCATTCGGTATGAATATGTTCATACCAAATTGCGGACTCCTTGGAATTATCTGATTTTTCATTACGACTGACTGTTCTTCTATCATGTCGCGACTCTTCTCTTTCTCGATTATTGTCATCAACAGCAGAACGGGAATATTCTGTCGTGTCATATTTACCCTAAAACGCAGTAAAGAAAGCTCACTTGCGTGTTGCAACACCGACTGCCAGGCGACGTTGCCAATTCTCCAACTTGTACAGCGTTCAACGCTACATTAATGAGGTTAAAGTTTTTAAAAGTTTTTTTTTTTAATATCTTCAGCCTAAGAACGCTTAGGCGGTTCAGCCATAGCAATTAAAACATAACTCTAATGTTAATGATTAATGAATTAAAGAACTGCGCGTTTTCTAGCCGGATAATAAATAATGTGGCGCAAAGTTTGGAGCGAGCAAAAGTGCTCTTAGACTTAGTAGGCAACTCGTAAAATTGATATTAATGGCGTTTGAAAATGTAAATATTTACTCTGGTGTTTCAGATGTGTTAGTTGTTCTCTAGTTTTAAGAGAAATGTTTATTTTCATAAAAAGGTGTTGTTTTTACGGAAAAATTGGGAATAACGAAAGTAAATTAAGACTAACTAGCTAGCGGGGTATATAAACAAAAAAAAACCGTATAAATAAAATTTTGAGATCGTTGACACAAGATAACATGATTGTTTAAACTATAATACTAATCTTTTTTTTTTGTTCGGTTTTTCCCGTTTCAGGAAAAGGCAAAAGGACTCAGCCTATACAGTCATTATCTTCAGTAGTGTTTTCATATTATATTTTTTTTCAATTATCTTCACAAGTTACAAGGTTCGCAAGTTTCTGGGTTCTTCAAAAGATTCTGGATATCATTGTTATGATGATGAACGAATCTTCGATTTTGTTACGATTTTGGAAGAACTTACGTCAAATTTGCCTCAACTTAAGTAGTTATCAATTTGATTTGAGACACTCGTGTAAAGTACTTCTAATAATTACAAATGACAAACAGCTTGAGCCAAGTATACACAAATATTTATATCAGTATCGTGTTAACCAATTATAAAGTGGCCTTATAAAATCTTTGTTAACAATTTCACTCGAGTCGTGATTACCAAACTTGCTGCGCCACTTGACTCGCCCACGTTATCAATAAACATTCTGTTATTACTTGTAACTAAAACTAAACGTGTTTTTTGTACGTTATCGGACACTATTCTATTGTCCCATTCATAAACCACTGTTTTAAACACATAAACTTGTACAAATCTTAAAGTTACAATTACTCTTTGAGGGGTTGCAGTTCAATGACCGTGATGTCTTTCATCACTAGTTGAATACAAAGCTCCTCTTTTGCCTCATCTGAAGACAATTCTATGGTTCAGTTTAGATTTTAAACCATTGGTTACCAAATGATTGGGTCCTTGTTAAATTATTGAATGAAACCCGAAAAGAACAACATCATTCCATAGATTTTAAATTCTTCAGTTTAGATTTTAAACTGAAGAATTTAAAATCTATGGAATTTGATCCTTGTTAAATTACTTGTTAATTAATCTATATTAAAGAAAGGATTCGATTCTAGGAAAGAAAATTCCTACCAAACTATAGAATAGTTTGGTAGAAATTTTCTTGACCCTGAAATTTTGCAAGTATTAGATGTCTGCTTGGAGTCTGTTTTTACATTATTGCAGTTTGCCATTCTAAGTTAACGAATCACATAATTTTGGAGGACTAAGATGTCATAGCTTGTAATTTCACTGCCATATGTCAACCTTCAACCAAAACTAATCTTACAAAACATGCTGCTTGGCAGCTGAAATAGGCGACACTGAGGTGCTCACACAAATAGTTACAGTAAGTACCTAAAATAAACAGACATTCAGCCTTGGACATTTACAGAAAACTTTATAGACCTAATATGTCCAAAATTATTTTATGTATTTATTAAAGGAAAACCAAGGCTATAACTATCAATAAATTTTATTTTATCTCCAGGAATTACATAATTCCAATTTTATTATATAATGCTAACAAATATAATTTGTGGGAAATCAGGAGCCCAAACTAAGCTATAGCCTGTATCTTAGACACCAGGTCTCCCCTTCATATACACATATTGAGTCATTTTAAAAATATGCTAAGCCATTGGCAAGCTTTCACAAGTAATGTTGCAGGTGAATGATACTATGTTATTGGTCGAGACGATGTATATTACAGATGATAATAAACTGACAATATGTACATAGAAATATTGATCTTATATACTAAAAAACAATAACAGTTTAGACACAGCAGTGCTTAGTAGACAATATTGAATTTGTCTTACTAGGCATTATTAAATGCAATTATTATTTTGATGTATCTAGGTGACTGTGTCCCATAAGTAACATCAGATTAACTGTGTTAAATGCGACATCACTACTTATAAAGGCAATAATACATTATAAAATTACAGAAAATATGAAACTAGGATAAGAATAAGAGTACCCTAACAAAGAATCAATTTCTTAAATATTTCTTTAACAAACAATAAATGTTTGATATTACCTGTGTATATCTTATATTTGTGTTTGCAATAAACTTTCTTTTTAAAGTCATTCGAAAAGAATCCTTTGTTTACATATTTCCTATACGGACGATAGATTTTATTAAATTCGCGGGCTCGCAAAATAGCAAATTGCGCAACAATATTAGATGTCACCTTAGAGTGTCAGCAAATTGTGTATCTGTGTCTGAACGTCTCGGACATTGTACAAATCAATATAAGCCAATCTATTGGCAACTGACACGTTCATGTAACAACCTGAGGCAATAAGGACAATCGCTTTAGTACCTTTTCACAGAGACGTTATTGACAATTCCAAACGTTTTTGCGTATTATCAGAAAAAAGTTAGTGCGAGAAGGTACCTAAGTATTTGTTTTTTCTTCGTTCCAAGAGAAATGTTGCTAGAACATTCGAAATCAAAGAAATAATTACTTGTTTTAGATACCGGGTACTTACCTAATATGCCTTCATCACTATAATGATGGAAAGTATTGCCAATTGTACGATGAACCTAATACTTGCTCAACTGGAATCTGGCGTGACAGAAGAACATGCTGTCTTCCGAATTACTTGATTCGTTACATTTTTTTATAAAATAGTTATATAATTATTATAAGAGTTGTGTATATATTCACCTTTGTTTTATCTATTTATTATTCTTCTATTGTACTTTATTGCATTTTGTTCTTATATTATTTTATGGTTTTGTATTTTTTTTTCTTACGTATCATCATTTCTCGTTGTATATTAAGTCTTCAGTTTTTGTATGTCGCCTTTATTTAATATAATATCAAATCAAGATATTTTGATTTTATTCTTGTGTACAGACTTTTCTGATATGTCACCGTCAGTCAGTTCGAAGAGCTTTCGAGCTAAGAGGAACCGACAAGAAACTCAACTCGTATTCTTATCAAATGAGCCTGTAAGTTTAGCGAATAAATGTTATTTTATTTTTATTCATTTATTACAAGTTTAAGAAAGACTTTACGACGGTTATAGGTCTTGTCCATCATCGATGAGTTTGACCAAAACACTCAAATTTTGATCACATCAATCTGATTTGATTTCACGAACTTTTAGACCTAAAACTGAGACTAGCATCCTATTAACTACAATGCTGTTTTTGAAACTTCAGTGTAACAAAAGAAATTTTT